TGTGGGTGTGGGTGTGGGTGTGGGTGTGGGTGTGGGTGTGTGTGTGGGTGTGGGTGTGTGTGTGTGTGTGTGTGTGTGTTGTGTGTGTGTGTGTTGTCTCTGTGTGTGTGTGTTGTGTTTGTGTGTTGCTTGTGCATGTGCGTGTGTGTGTGTTGTGTTTGTGTGTTGCTTGTGCATGTGTGTGTGTGTGTGCTGTGTGTGTGTGTGCGCTGGCTGTGTTGTGTGTGTGTGTGTCGTGTGTTGTGGTTTGTGTATAGTGGTGTATGCACGTGTTTATGTATTTATGTCTTTCGTGATTGCTTGCTTTCTCTTTATTCAGTTATTGATTTCTGTCGTTTCTTCGCTCCTTATTTATGTCTTTCTGTCGTTCTTTATATAATTATTTCTCTGTTTGTTTGGTTGTGTGTTTGTTGATTGTTCGGTTTTGCTTGTTTCTTGCTTGCCTTTTCTTTGCATGCATGCTTGATTGATTGTCGGTGGTTGCGTGTGCAAGGGGTTGGTAACGACTGACACACTCCCCCCTCACTACATTTCGTCAGGCTTCTAAGCCCTAAGCGATGCAGTGCTCCAAAGGTGTCTTACACTCTCACAACTCGGACAAGCCAGGCGAGGATCCGAATGTCTGAAAGGTTTGATATTTCGTGTGCGGCTACACTGCAAACCACGACTGCCGTCGGAGCCTCCCAAGCTTCGCCAAGCCAGCTGCACGTCATCGGCACCTACCAATGCTTCGTGCCAGTCGGTTGCCTTCTTCAGTTCCACCGCACGCCAAATGCCGAACCCAGTACTTGTCTGTGCACCCACACCCACCTTCAATCCCAGCTGCTGACCCTCACCGTTTGTTCGGATGTCTCATGTGCATGATCCCAAGCAGTCATTCCTTTTCGGAAGCAGTCGTCGCTCGGTCTCTGTACAGATAGATCCGCTGCATCGAGCAGGTATGAAGACGAGGAGTCTGGGGAACACAATCCTCGGTGTTGACCTAGGACCTAGCTGCTGGTTGAGGGCCGTTTCTCGCCAGCATGCCGTTTCGATCACACTGCGTTCACAACGACAAGCTAAGCCGGCAAATGCGAACGGAGAAGCCGGGCTGCATGACGCAGTTCACTACACCCCCGTGATGTATGTGGTCTGCATCGGAACATAATCATATTTCTCTCCATGGGCACATCTACTTCAAATCTCTTTGAGTAAGGAGGGCGACAGAAGGCTAACGTATATGTCTTTGACGCAATGCTCGAACAAGAAGCGGCAGTCACACACCAGGCAGGCTTTACAAGTTTGAAACGCCAACATGTGTGTACAGTGCAGTGTAAGCTTTAATCTACGCCGGAGCCATGCTCACATCCGAAGCCCTCGAGCAGAATCCCTTCAGGAGTTCTGGAAGCCATTGATTTACCTTATTATTCATCTGCCGATATCTGCCGACATGCTCGGCTGTCTCTTGCAAATCCGATCTGCAAGCGCTTCGGCTGTGGCAAAGCCTTTCGCACAACTCCTACTGATAACCTCCTACGTGGCACAGCTACGATGTCTCCATCTCTCTCGGCTGAATTGCTGCAGGGTTCTGGGGAGGACGAGGCATGAGAAGTTCGTTAGGGCCATGATGGGACATGTCAGCAGGAGGAGCCTGGAGCAACATCTTTGCGTGCTTGGGGCGGAAGATGTACCGCGCTGGCGGCGAAAACTACAACATGCGGGACTCTGGGACTCTGGAAGCCTGGCTGTGGTTGTGGACCCCTTCCAAGTCCGATTCAGCTTGGAAGGCTGCGGCTCGGACTGTGAGGATGCATCGTATGGGTCGTATTCTCAACAGACTCATAGACTACACGGCTAACATGACTGCATCTTGTGACGAGCTCGCAGATAAGTGCATAAACACCAGTGCTGCAAACTTGAAGCCAGGTGTGTCAAGCTTCCAAAGCAGCAGACAAGCAGATTCAAAGTGGTAAAATGTGTCAAGCAGTCTGAACTCCGAACCCTGCATGGGGGCACGTTGCTTGAGCTGCGCGAACCACTTCCCATGGTTGGCGCAGGTTAAGATCCCAAAGCTTAAAGTGCAGCTACAGCATCAAGGCATAAGAAGGGTTTGCGACGTGCGCGTGAAAGCCTGAGGTCAGCAGGAAAGGGGACATTCCTTCCTTCACATTCCAGGCCTTGGCCAGGCCAGCCTGAACACGACACTTCATTGAGCAAGAGCAGGAGTCTTGCATCGAAAAGTTCGCATCCCCGGCCGGCCTTGAAACCGGCGACCACCAAGCCATGACTTTGCACGGCGACCGCAGCGCTGGAGCCCAGGAGTCCATACTCACCTTCGAAGTTGACAGGGCGCTTTTTGTCAGGGCTTTCGACGGCTTCTGGCTTCTTTGGAGTCTTCTCCGGTCTTCGTCAGGTGAGCTTGGCAACTGCATTCTGAATCGAACTCAATCATGAACATTTGGGTCACGCCACAGGACATCGCAACTACATCGTGACCACGTACATCTACAATCGCCGAATGTGCGCAGCTGTTCGACAAGAAGCAGCTACATGACCGGCTTACCGAGCATTGTGCCAAGCCACCTTTCGCAAGTACCTGGAGCTCCTTTGTTCGACGGTTCCACACCTGGCAATGGGCAACCCGGGCAAGCTTGGCCCGAACTGGTACAGCAATGTAGCTTTCACAGGTCAAGGTCTACCGGAGCCTACCGCAAAACAAAAAAACACATAAGCAAACATTAGGATCCGGATATCCCATATAAATCCCCTTAAAATGAAGCCCAATAAGGTAGGGACATCCCTATGAAAAGCTTATGCTTATGTGCTTTTGGGGTCCCTAAAAACAGTTAACGAGTTGCCTGCACGGCGCCACGGCCCGAACCCATAGCGACAAAATCCCCGGCGATGGCCAAGGACACCACCTGAAATTCTTGGACAAGATCCAAGGAACCGCGGCAGATCATCTGTAAGGATCAAGGCGCATCTGCTGAGAACCGAGGCACAGGGTCCGACGTCAACAAGCATGAAAATAAGCCTCTCCAGGCTTCAGAATACTGCATGCATTGACACATTGAAGGCACAACGTCGCAGGAAGCTTCCGTCTGAGGGAGCTAGGATTGAAGCAATCAAACAAGCAGGCTCGAATTGAGACCAAACCTTGCGGACTCATGGAAGCCTTTGGACAGCACGGCCCTCTGTCTACTGGAATGCAAGTTCTAGATCACAGAAACCCTTCGAAGGTCCTGAAGCTGGCAGCGTTGCGAAGCTGATTATATCCAGGAGCATGCCGGACCTTGCAGCAGATTCGTTGCAAGTAAAGTCTGGCAGCCGGGCCAACTTCAAGCGAAGGTCTCGTGATCGTTGATTTCCACCGTTTTCACACAATCCCTCAACTGCGCCATGCCGTCCAGGACGAATCACTGAAGCTGACACAACAAGCCTATACAAACGGGGATGCGTGCCTTTTAGACTCTAGAAGCAGCGTTTGTCCCCTCGTCCACCCAGCCACCCGGACTTCCCGAAGCCCCGGCTCAGAATTCCACAGCCGTGCAGTACCGTCCATAGACCCAGTCGCCTGGCACAGACACGGGCAGACTGTGGATCCAAGCTCTTGCCAAGCAAAGCAAAGCAGCAACGCGACAAGTTCAGTCAACTCAAGCTCCATTGTGACTCACACTCGCGATTGACCACAAGTCATTCGCTGTCGAAGCAGGAAGCAAAACCTTGGCACACGGAACGACAAGCGATCCTCTGGACAGAGGAGCTATGTACTTGGTGCGGGGATTATTAAGTAAATAGCAAGCACTATGTAGCTACTGACCGAGGTCTGCAGTTTTTGCCAACACCCCCGGCCAAAAGCTGCAAGTTCCGGTGCATGGACACGGAGGCAACTCGACCTCGGAATCTTCGGAGCTACATAACAAAGCAAGACTCCGCGGCCCAAATAAGCTCACGCTGGCATCCAAATACCGCGCACAACTCACAACCATGGACCACACCGGCACTAGCACCCTGAATGAATTCTACCAGATAGCGTTTGTGTCCGGAGAGGACGTGCTTCACGCGCCCGGTGGCCGTGTTCCAGATTCGTGCTGTGCAGTCACTGGATCCTGGAAGGAGGAGCATGACGTTCTTTGGTCAGCGAGCAAAGCCACAAGACCGGAATTTCAGCAGCTCACACACGCCTTCATGCATGTCGGGTCCTGTAACTGCCATGCAGCCGTGGAGAAGAACTGAGCTTATTCCCTTGCAATGGCCGACCAGGCGCACCTGCCGACTGTGCCACATGATCTGTGGGAAAGTCTGGCACCAGTGGCACTGGGCGGTGATAAAATGGTGCAGCCGTGGAGGTGTGAACATCAGAAGGCTTTTGACAAACAGCATCTGAATAAGCGCGAACTTCAGAGCGTCCATCTATGTAAGACGGTTTCCACGGGGGCATCATGGTCACCCTTGCATCCGAGTTGCGCAGTCGGCCTTCCTTAGGTGCTGGCGCAACTATTAGGGAATGTCGCTGCGAGAATGTTATGAGGTACAGGTATGTCCCAAGTCACAAGGACACATTCTGATGCTATTTTGGCGCAACAATCCTTACAGGGGCCAGACAGATGTAAGCAGCGCATCATGAAGGGTGGCACTCAGGTAAGCAAGCCCGTGCCGCGTGAAGCCATGCTCTCTCGGGATCAACTTGGTACCTGCCTTCCCAAGATGGGGGGTTCGTGCTTGAATGTTTAAGGCCTAGTAGGTCTTTCGCGAACCGAAGACTGCTCCGTCTGTGCTTTCTGAGCCTCTCTACTGCCTGAAGGCCGTAGGGCAGCACGGGCTGCTCCTGCGTCTGGACTCAGAATGCCTTTGGCTTCGGCTTGCTGGGTATATCCCATCTTGCATCTCGACGCAAATCTAAACGACCATGCAATGGTACGGTCCCCAGTGATCTTGCCCAGCACGGCCATACCATTGCTGCCGCCCAAGATGATGGTGGACTGCTCAATGCCTGACTACGATGGCTAGTCGGACAGATTTGTAAGTGCACTTCTTCACATTGAGCGCCCCACCCACTGCAGTAACGGAGCAGTCGAAGAGGATCGTCTTGAGCAATACACCTGTGGAGGCGATTTCCATGAACCACGTGACCACAGCTGCCAACTCGCCGCCTCGTGAGGCGTCCCAGGCCCTGGCAGTGCAATCGTAAGATCCCGTAAGGACCTCGCAGTGCGGATGCAGGCACTTCGATGCCCAGCGTGCACACAGAGGCAAATGGGGTCTGTTGTCTGCCCCACTACTGCTTGAAGACCAGAGGAAATCTTCTTGCTTAGTACAGGCCCTGTGCCCACTCGAAGTTTACCATCAAGGTCAAGTGGTATGGTTCAGATCAGTCCCGATGTCGTTACACTGGACAGACCAGGATGGAATTTTCCGACCAAGCGACCAGCGTGTGCAGCACTGCCGTCCCATGGACGGCAATATGTCAAAGCTGTGGCTTCCCGTGTTTTCTGCGTTAGTGGCCAGTGACCGGCAGGGCGGTCACGCAAAACGGCCAGGACGCAGCACACAAATGGAAGCTACATTATGCATGCGGGGCCGTGTTTGATATTGAGGCAGCTTGCACTTCCAAAAAGTTTATCCCTACATCTCACGACACTGTCACTATCGATAGTAGACACTGCTTCTCACTGCTTGCAGCATGCAGTAGCAATGGTCTGAAAATCAAGGAAATGGCAGATTCATACAAGCGCCCAAGAGAGCTTGTGAACATACTCAATTAAGATTCTGCATGACAGCTGAGTTGATGACAGTGTTTCCCTTCATCGCAACTGTGAGGACCGTGTCCGTGTGGCCGGTCAGGAAGCGTGTTCCTGCCCTCGCGCAGGTGGCTTGCGGAAACAATGCTGCTCTGTACACCTGCCGCTGCTGGAAAGCCTGCATGCATACATACTTGCACATCCATATATATATATGTGTGTGTGTGTGTGTGTATATGTATGTATGTATAGTTCGTTTATGTTCGTTTCATATAAGTCTCGATTATGACCGAGATGTAAAATTGTGTCCAACAAGGACCCAGCTTTGACATTTACATGTCCACACACGTGTTAACAATGCATGACTTATAAATGTACGTCTTTAACCTACATGAACACATGCATATACTTTTCTTAGCTGCCCAGTACCCTGGCCCAAAAAAGTTTAAACTTTTCTTTCAGTAGGGGTCTAATATACCAAAAAAGTTTAAAGTTTACCTATTGGGCTCCTAAGTTTTAAACCAGCGTAACAAGCGTATGCATGTACAGATACATACATACACATGTTAGCATAGAGACAGACAGCCATGCAAGCAGGCAGGCAGGCAGACAAAGACAGCCAGCTGTGCCTATCAGACTACACTATAGCAGTGCACTACTTTACAATAAGTACATACATATACACGTGCATAAGAGACCATCTCTTCTTGCTATGCATGGGAGGTGCTCGTTCAACAAACGTTGTGGTGATGGTGGTGACGAGGATGGGAAAGGTTCTCCAAACGCTGATGCTGCTGAAGAAGGCTGGTATCACGAAGCGCGTTTGCTTCTTTTTTTGCTGGACCCCCATTGCGATGAGGACGACACCACTTGCGACGATGACGACTTCTAACCCTTAACAAGCAGTGATCGTGCTGTTGCTTCTCGTCTGTGAACCCAGTCAAATTGCGATTATAGCGTGGCGATTACTGCTATAAGATATACTGCTGAACAACTGTTTGGATATTGCTGCTGCTGCCAAATCAATACTACGCAGTTACGAATGCAATGCTTCATGCACCTGTCAAGCGTTTACAGGGTAGCATACGCACAGACCATCGGGCGTGGTCCTGCATCAATTCAGTGGGTACATCTTGTTGCCCCATGCAGCATTGCAGAGACAAAACCAATGTCAGATGCTGCTGGATCCCTGAGAGGCACATGAGGCCACACGCCACATCACATTCTTTAGTAGTTCTGCCAGCGCATCTCATGCAGTCGACTTTGCGGTGCTGGAATCATAAGCGTGTGCAACATTGCCTTCGCTTTGTGATGCTTCGTGTTGCACGAAAGATATGCGGCCTGCCCGAGCGAGGATCCCAAAGCTTAACCGTGTGGTTGCAAGTGAACCTGAGCTTTGCAAACTTCGACGTCTTTGCATTCCGGGCAGTATCGTGCCAGCCGAGCCACGGATCAACTTCGTAGGTCACAACCTGCAAACACTGACTACCACAACGACAACGCCCTGGGAACGAGCTTGGCAGGTCGTAGGGCCGATGCAACATTAAAACTATTTCCCACAGCCTACGATTTTGGATACTTGTGGGGCCTGAGAATGTGCTTTCGATGCTGTGGTTTGCTTGGAACTTGCACAACCGTCAGTACCGGTCACCGTGGCGACAACACCATCTTGCAGCATTAAAGCATGGCAGGATGCCTGCATCTTCGGGGGTTCACCCAGGTAGTCTTGTATCAAAGCCCACCTGGTATTGGCTTTGCAGATGGTCAGGGCGGATGACGATTTCTAAAAAATCTGGAGCAACATTGGCTCATGAATGCGGGCCCGATTGGCACCTTTATTTTGTAGGGGTATTGCACAGGAAAATGGTATGGCCACGACAGGAAGCTTCGGAATCACGCTGAATGCATAGCCTTGCAGCCTAATGTGTGAAAAGGCATGCATATACCGATACAGATGTGTACGATATGCACAAGACTTTACACACATATACAGACTATATAGATACACACAACACACACACAGCTGTGTGTATGTGTGCATATAACTGCCCTCCCATTTCTGGTGCAAGTAACTTCCTGTACTACAACCGATATCTGAGAACCCATACCCTAGCCCGCATTTATAGTTTCAGGCTGCCGCTAAGAAGCTTAGGTGCAGGGTATCCTACCTTTCGAAGTCAGGTTCTTGTTTTGGGGATGGTTTCGGCTTGTTTTGTGAACCTTCGAAGCACGGACTTGAGGGAGTGCGATGCCTGATCTGCGGACACAGTGTGTGTGTGTGTGTGTGCTGTCTGTGGCCTTTACCTCTCATGTGTGCGTGCGAGCGGGGTTATGCCGGTACGCACGATTTCGTGCCGGTGATGAACATCCGGGATCCACAATCGAATAATAACGTGCATGACAGCTCTCTTGCCGGGCTTCACAGGTTGGTTTGCAGCAGTTGCAGCCATGAGGCACGACGTGAAGCAAGGCCTCCCTGCTCTGTAGTGGGACGGCTTCATCTGTAGCATGTGGGTAGGCTAATCCTCGGCGGGCAACCGGTGCAAGCTTGCGCCAACATGACCGTCGCCGGATCCCATGTTGCCCCACGCCCTGAAACCTACAAGGGGACTCCAGCCGAGCTAGCCCTGAACCTCAAGCCCGGAAGCAGCTTGGCTCGGTCTTCAGTGTGGCAACGGAGATTAGTGAACCGTGTAGTCAGGCTATGATCGGCTGGTGGAGGCTGTTTTTTGGCGAACAAGGGCAGATCTGCGATAGGTCTCCAAACTCCAAAGGCCACCAAGAAACTCTGAAGCAGCTCGCTACGAAGTGATCGCCTGCGAATCTTCGTGGTACAACTCGGAACTGTCAGGATCTTTGGTGTAATGACTTACAATGACAAAACAACGCATGCCTGCTGCCAGGTACCTTTGCATGCTTGCGAGCCTGCATCAGAGTTGAGTTGCAATACACACGGAGCAACGTACTGACGGTGCTAATCAAGAACCATGAGAATAAACGTTGGTGTGTCCTCCATAATGAACTAACTGTGCTGCGACATTGGTTTCTACAAGTTGCAACTGGAAGTGAGGGAAGCTTCCGCACAATGCGGCTTGATGTCAAGTTTTGAAAGGGTCTTGACGAGCCGAGGGCCGGGAGCTTGCAAGAGTTAACTGTGCCGGGCACTGAAAAGGCATGTGCGGACTTGCACCACCAGGCTCCGGCCGCTCCTGCTCCCGCGAACTCTGCAAAAGCAGCACAAGAGGGAAGCAGTGATTTGCGAGCACACCCAGCACCATGGCTCATCACACTGTGGCGTGTTGTTTACGTTGTCTATGGCTGAACCTTAAGCTGGAACTAGCTGGGTTTGAAAGCTTTTGTTGCGATGCCAACCCAGGTTCGAACGGAGTCATGCTGTTCATCGACGTGCTACAGCTATGAGCCTCCTAATCCTCTGAAGCCATGATCTTCACAGTAGTGGCTTCATGCTGGTGAACTTCAACCGTCAGAAGACTATTCCAGCATCCATGGATTTAGGCCAAACGGCTACGGCAAGCGACCTGCAGACCAAGAGCCGAATGATATGGCCAGACGCCTGTAAACTATCAGCCGCCGCCCATTGCAAAACTTGCACACGCTGCAGCACTTTGGCGTGCTGGCATTCCACCTATCTGCAAAGCCTTAAGTCCTGTTGATGACGGGCCTGAAACTACTAGAACAGTTGCGTGCTTGTAGGCTCGACTTTCAGCTCCCTCCACGGCCCAGAAAAGTCCCACAACGGCACCTAGGGAATCCAGCAGCCGCGCTTCCTGCTCATAGCGGTTTCCAGGGGATGAGCCTTGGCCCGCATTGTACGGAATGAATGGAGTTCAGGTTCAGATTAAGCCTTAGTCGCAAGTTAAACCAGCCACACCAGTCACCAGATTTCTCGCAGATCTACCTGAAAGACCGGGTCAAGTTATTGACAAATGCTCGAACATGAAATACACCGTGCACAAATATTGCCGATACCTTCATTTCCGCTTACGTTGTATCTCGAGAAGTCGCTGTCAGCGCAGCAGCTGTTGCCATTTTAATTATTGCAACATGCGGATCCATTGTTGCAGCTGGCCAAACCGTTAAGTGCCACGCTTTGGCTGCCAGGGATAGGTCGGATACGGCCAAGCCAATAACCTGAACAGCTCATGTCGTAAGCACCGAGAAACTGGATTTGCAGCCTGTTGTTGGCCCAAGCCACTGCGATCTTCCCTCTGCATGTGCCCTTCCCGAAAGGCCATGACCTTGCGAAAGCACAGCTCAAAGGTGCGACGGACTGGGGATATAGACATGTAGCCACAGATCCAGGACTGCCGACCAGAGCGAGGGCTTAGGCCGCCGGCTTTCTTCGAGGCATCAATCTCCATGTCCTTCCCAGCAAGCAAGCTTGGCTCGGCTTGAAAGCCTAGTCGAGTCTATGTGAGCTCTTGACCATGAAGAAGCACAGCGCGCGTCGAGTATGAAGCTTTACTACTGCATCACGCTGGAACATGCGAGGAACACAATTTGCATGCCTGCTTGTCTGTTTCCTCATATGTAAACTGAGTCGCCCGTCCCCTGCATCAACTATCATGCCAACCTATGATCTGCCCAAACTGAAGAGGTCGCTGATGCCGGAAATCCCTGTCCGTGAAGGGCATCCATCCGGGACCTCGCAAAAACTCTTCAACAGCAACATCTTTGCAACATGTGAGCTACAGTAGCCATGGAGCCATGGCTCCTAAGCTGCAAGGCCCCTAGAACAGCGATTGTTGAGCTGCACTCAACCTCTACATTCAGTGAAGCATGGCAGGGCTGTTGCAAGGTAGCAGCAAGTCAACACATCGATGTGTCGTGGGGCACCTGGCATGATCTGTTGGCAGACCTTCAACAAAAGCTTTGGTCTTTGGCCAAGCATAAATAAGCTACCAGTAGTCAGCTGTGTTCGATCAGGCGTCGGAATGCCACCTTTTTGTTCGATAAAGCTTTGCGGGTCTTCGGTCTTCCCTTCACGGCGTTGGGAGGCGCCGGCGCGGTGCAAACAATTCGCTGTGCTGCTCACGTGTCTCATTCCGAATCTCCCGGAGGATGCCTTCAAGCACCAGAAACGAGCACTGACCTAATTACTCCGACTACGTTACTTGCGTCACAGGTTTTATCCCAGATCGATGTATGGTGTGACACCGAACATTCTGTGCGGCCTCACGGGTGCCTCGACTTGTCACCTCCTCGTGACATCACTCCGGCACTTTCGTCTGGATTGACACCGCGTGCCACTGAGCGATCTCCTCACGGATGACTTCTTGTACCTTTCGATCAACATCGACAGTCTGGAGCTTGGTCTGCAGCGATGCATGGCGCTTACGCGCTCCACCTATAGTTCCCACGTGTTTACTTACTGACATTTCACCCAGATGAGAAGGATTTGCATGGCCAAGCACTACAACGATGCACACCATCATATGTGACATATCAGATTGAAGTGCTGCTGTTGGCGCGAAGCATACTGAGAGCTGTGCCATTCGCTGACACTTCAGCTTCGTCTGGCCGCGGAACTTTTCGGATTCGATAAGAATGGTGAAGCTCCTCATGCGTGCAAGACCCGATGTTTGTGTCCCCCGTCTCGAACCATGGGCGAAACAAGTTACACCCAAAACTTGAAGGTCTGCACACCAACGTTCTGCAGAATCTCTAGGCCAGGCCAATGCCGAATCTCCATGCGACAGTCGCAGCCAAGACACTGTCCACAGCCTCCGGACTTGTCCTCCACTACACAATTGGAGGCGCCCAAAGCTGCCGTCAGCTTGCTGGCCACCTCGTCCGGATGTCCAGAAGACGGAAAATGGTGAATGCGAGGTTCAATGCAATTTCTCCAGAGGGCACGAGTTCAGCTGTTCAGGCGACATGCTCAACAAAGCTGACTGACAGCATCTTTCAAGCCTGCCAGATCTCAACATTGGAAACGATTTAGCTGCTGGAGCTGATGGTGCCTACATTGGCTGGTGGAAAAGCTGCTCTTGGCAACCGCCTCACCAAGACAACGCTGTCCAGACCGAGCAGCACCAGAACATTAAACAATCCTATACCCAATTAGCCATGGAACTGAAGCTTCGTAGCCAGTATCTGCAAAGGATCGGCGAGTCAGCGTCGGCACAGACCGGAACAGCCCGCGAATCATGGCTTGCAGCTATGTTTAAGGCCTGGGTCCAGTGAGTCCAATGAAGTTCTGCCGTACAGTTACCTCTCGAGACTGGAGCAAGCTCCCTACCGACGATCTGTGCAGCCAGAGCATTGCAGACACCCCATTCAACCTAGCTCTTGTAGCTTTTCAAAATCCCTGGCCAGGCAAGGTGCTTCCATGTTGAAGCTGTCCGGCAACGACTATCCAGGATCTGTGTCTCACTCGGTGCAGCGAGCAGAATGGAGGGTGATTCCCGAATCCCCTCAGCCACTGGCTTCGAAGCACCTGCACCGCTGCTTCCTGACTGAAAGCAAAAGAAGATGCCGTGCCTCCGATTGTGGGTGGGCGGGTGGGGGCATTTGTACTTCTGCACGCACGAAATGGAGAACTTTTGCCGATCATGCCAACATGTTCTGACAATTGAAATATTACATAAGAGCCACCCGGAGCGATTCATGCTCGCTCGGATGAAACCTTGGTTGTAAACTATATTTGTCACCTGTTGACCTGTCTGCTAAATAGACGTGGGATATTTGCCACCACACAACTCAACAGATCAAAACACAGGGCGAGGGCACGAACTCCATCATCACATGTTGATGCTGCTAGTCTTTAACCGTATATACTACCACCATGTCTCCCTCACGTGGCTGTGGACATTTGTACTAAGTACAAACCGCTCTCAGTACAATATGACTGCTTCGGAGAATAAAGAAGGGGATTCCAACACAGAAACGCCTTCGAGACTTCTTCACATCAAACTTGAGGGCCAGGGGCATGGAAACCAAACCGAAAGCTCGGTCTTTTTTTACAGAAGGACTCAACGGCTACACACACGCAAACGCAGAGAGACATGGCTGCACTGCACAAACACTTC